AAGATCCCGTTCATCCTCATCATGTATGTTGTCTCAAGAAGGCCATATACGGTCTTAAGCAAGCACCGCGTCTCTGGTATAACACTTTTACAAAATTTCTTCTCACAATTGGGTTTACCCATAGCACCGCCGATCCATCCCTCCTCATATTTAAGCAGAATCATATTCGTATCTTTTTACTTGTATATGTAGACGATATATTGGTTACCGGAAATAACAACGATGCTATCTCTTCGACAATTACCAAGCTTAGTAACAATTTTTCCATGAAGAATTTAGGTTCTGTTCATGAATTTATCGGAATCCGTATTGACAAACATAAGAACTCTTATTTTCTTTCTCATAAAAAGTATGCTTATTCTCTTCTCCATGCTTATTCCCTTCTCCAGCTCACAGGACTTACAAAGTGTAATCCTCTTGCAAATCCCACGGTGACCAAATTTCCCAGCATCTGTTCGTTGGATCCACAATTCTCTGACCCTGCTCTCTACAAACGCATCACAGGGTCACTCCAGTATCTCACTCTTATTAGGCCCGACATAGCCTACAGCGTGAATCAGTTATCTCAACACATGCACGATCCACAAAATCAACACTTCTACATGCTCAAACGATTACTACGATACATAAAAGGTACCCTGGACTTCGGCATACCTATTACCAAATCTAATCTCGTTCTTACTTCCTTTTCAGATGCCGATTGAACTGGAGATCCGGACTCCCAGAAATCAACCTCCGGATATTGTTCGTTTCTTGGAGACACGATTATAGCATGGACAGTCAAAAAGCAAACCACCGTAGCTCGATAATCCACCGAATCTGAATATCGCGCATTGGCCGCACTCACCGCGGACGTTATATGGATTCGTCACCTTCTCTCAGATTTTGGTTTCTCGCAACAAGTTCCCACTGACATGTTCTGCGACAACACATCTACTATAGCATTAGCCAACAATCCGGTCTTCCACGCCCGCACCAAGCACATCGAAATCGATCAGAAGTTTCTCCGAGATCACATACAGCAAAACAATATTCGTCTACTTCCGATCAGCACTATCGATCAAACTGCAGATATTCTCACAAAAGCTTTGTCTACAGCTCGATTTCTCAAACTCAGAAACAAACTGACGGTCTTCCAAGATTCATCAGTTTGCCCGGGGATATTAGAACAAGACATTAAATAGATTTAATTGTTTAGCTAACGTGGCTGTACACTATTGGCTAGTTACATTA